CATTAAAATTTACCCTAAAATGTTTCTCTTTGTTGGTCCGATATGCCCACTGTAGATGCACTAGACATGTCTCATTTCCTTGTGAACACTTCCTAGGAGTTTTGTGCTTTGCAGAGGCCGCCAATATCCAGTGCGAACTCTATACACACATCTGGTTGTTCTCACTTAATGGTGCTACTGAACTATTTGTAGTTCTTTGAAAATCCCACATGGCTGAATTCTTCTAAATGCCATTCTTCTTGTGTGCCTAAAGATTTCCTTCTCTTCCTAGAAAACTTCATCTACTTAGATCCAGCTCAAATATCATCTATTGTAGGGAGTCTTTCCTATTCTTTCAACCTGCTCCCTTAGAATTAAACATCTCATCTTTTTAACTTCTGGACACTATGCATTCTTCTATTATCACTCAAAAAAATGTACATTATAATTGTTTGTATAGCTGTTTCCTCACCAGTACTTCGGATTCTTGGAGAGAAGAGGGCATTGCTAATTGTGATGTCTCTATGTCTACTGAGTACTCTGCCTGGAGTTGCAGGTCAAAAGATGTTTATTAACAACTCGCCCTTAGAGCTGGTCCTATAAAATCTGACCATACTAAGCAATTGTCTATATGCTGTGATTTCAACAATACTTGGGAAAACCCCTTTGTGTCCCTTACTAGCATCCAATCAATGCATCACTACTAAACTTTTTTCTGTCTGCTCACTCGTGCATGAACATTTGTGACTGGTGGTAAAACACTCTCTTTCCCAGTGGGAAATAGAGTAAATATATATCTACCTGGGAGAAGAAATACTTTGACTTAAATATAAAGACAGGATAGTGGTGATGGGCCCTTTAGCCCTAAAGTAGGGATATGAGTAATAGTTGTGAAGTCGGTCATACTGGGGCAGAATGTTCTGAGACTTTTGCTTGCCTGTCATAATTCTTGTTTTCATTGGCAACTGTGATCCAAAGTGGCCTGAAGAGTGTGAAAAAAGTATGATTTTAACTAGGAGTTAGAAATTCTTATGTGTATTCCTCTCTCCTCTCAGGTGTCTTTTCAGAAAGCATACACACAGGAACGGAAGGTCCTGCTAAACCACACAGCTCATCGGTGCAGCAAACAGCCAAGGACAATTACAGTTTGGGTAATACTCATCTCTTAATGATCATTCTAATACAAGACTAGTGATGCTGGTATAGTTTTTACATCTTAGGATCTTGAATTATTTGGTATGGATTTATAAATTGTATTCTCTAAAATTATTTAAATAAAATATTACTTGTGTTTCAGAGTGTTGGTAAGTTTTTCATTCTTAAGTCATTTCTGTGCTTTATTTTGTACCTATTCCAAGAATGTTACTGCTATGCAAATGAATGGCATATTGAAATTTTTTTTCATTCAATTTTTGAAACAGGCTACTATTCTGGAGAACTTAAAAAAAATAGCCTTAGGAGAAGTTAGTAATTTATTTTGTGCATCCCTCTTCCAGTCCTACTGTCTCCCAAATTGTTGTTGCCATTATAGTTAACTTTTTCTTTATATTAAAAGAATTATATATATCTGGCTATCTGTCTCAGATTGAGCACTTCATTGAAAAATAATTCCAATGGTTTCAAAATGCATTCTTGGACTTAATAAATATCTTTTCTAAGTACACCATGTAGAAAAATTAGATTCCAGGTCAACTACAGAATAAAAAAGTGACATAACTATGTAAGCTGTGAATCCCAGGGTGAGACATTGCATTAGTATCATGGGTTGAGTGGTGATCCCTCCAAAAGATGTGTCCCATTAGAACCTCTGAATGTGACTGTATTTGGAAAAAGGGTCTTTTGAGAGGTAATTAAGTTAAGGCTTTAGAGACACAATCACCCTGGATTACAGTGGGCCCTAAGCCCAAAACCAAGTGTCCTTAGAAGAGAAGAGAAGACACAGGAGAGAAGGAATGTGAGGATGGAGGCTGAGACTGTCTTGACACATCTACATGCCAAGTAGCCCCAAGGATGGCCGGCAGTCCCCAAACCTGGAAGACACAGGAAGGATTCTTCCCAGAGCCTTTGGAAGGAACACGGCCCTGCTGACACCTTAATTTCAGACTTTTGGCTTTTAGAAATATTGGAGAATAAATTTCTGTTGTTTAAATGGACCAAGTTTGTGGGTACATGTTGAGGCAACCCTAGGCAACTAATACAATGAGTAGTTAAGTTGCTTTTCTACTATAAATATGTTTTAAAAAACACAACTCACATTTGTTTCAGTCTATACAAATGCACATTGTGAAAGTGTAACCAGTGTGTAACTGATGTTAACCATGTAAAACTATTATCTCTCCAAACTTAAAAGAAAATTGGGTTTCATATGAAGAAATTAAAGAAAGAAATCACAAGACCATTGATTGGAAACTTTAAAGCTTTTTATACTATAAAATACACAAAGCTTCAAGCAAGACTAAGAAGGATGCTTTCTATTTTCAAAGAAGACATGATATTTGATATGAAATCAGCATATTGTGTCAATGGCAACTAACTGCCAATTGAGATGCTAAAACTTAAGGGCCCACATATTAGCAATGAACTAAGTTTAAAAAGTGTTTCCATTTATTATAAAATTAATCAGAGAAACACTTTTGAAAAAAAGCATTATTTTTCTTTTCTAAAAATAAACAATTATTTTTCACGCTTATGAGTACATCCCAATGTATGGGTTTCATCTGTGGGATGAGAAGTGGCAGGCATCATTTGCTGGTTTTTCTCCTCTGGGTGTTCTTCGGGAGAACACAGACCTTCCTTGCCTGAAGGACAGTTTGGTATCTGGCCCTAGAGGCATATTTCTTCATGCCCCTCCACTCTCTGGAATACTGTTATTAAGCAGAAGGTCTTTCCCATACTCCAGCCCACTGGGAGATCATGGGAACACAAAATGCTTGAAGACTTCAGTGGAGTCAATTAAGAGGAAACCACTTAAGGCAAGACCAGGCTCTTCTAGCAGAAACTGGTTGTATATCTAGATGTTGATTTAGTTATATCTGATAAAGAAAGCACTGTACTTTAAATCAGGAGTCAGCAAACTGTGGCCCATGGGCAAAATCCATCCAAAAAAGAAGTACATATTTTTGTAAAAAAGGATTTTGCTGGAGCAAAACCACGCCTCTCTGACTGCATTATAGGCCTTATAGGGCTGCTTTGCTGTTGCTGCAGTGGAGCCTTGAACCAAGACCACATGGCATGCAAAGCCTCAATTGCTCACTCATTGGCCCTTAATGGAGAAAGTTTGTAGATCCTGATTTTTCTCATCCAGTGCCTTATGCCACCTTTCTTATACCTTTAATTTCTAATAAAACGTGAAATTTTCCTCTTGAGTATTCCAAGTGGAAACCAACAATATCATCATCATAAATACCCACGCCTTAAATTTTCCCTCACCACCAACAGTGTCTTGGAGGTGAATTAAACAATGCAAACAACTCACAGACATTCGACTCCCTGAGAAGCTGGGTGTGGTGAGAGGGGAGGTGCCTGGGAAGGCCAAGCGGTGTTGTATGCTGTGATAGAGCTTGAAACCTGGAATATCTAAGTCATATCTTGATCTCAGTAAGCCTCAGAGGTCAGCTCTGGTTTCTTTTCTGTTTCTGGAGAGCTTCTTGAGCCCAATATGTGCTAAATTTAATAGTTAGCATCTCACTCTGTGCCTTCCTTTCAGCCCAGGCCAGTAATATTTAGCTGCTAAAAAAAAAAGCCCCAAATATTTTAAGGCTGGTTACTGCTCACTTCTCAGACCTTTACTGAGTTTATTTGTTTATTTTTTAGTATAGTAGACTTGGGTGCAATTATAAAACAGGGAGAAGTAATATAATTTTTATAAGCAGACTGTCCTTGAATGTTTATTGAATGGTTTCCTTACAAACCCACAGGAAGAAATTTGTTAGGCCCTTAAATCATAAAAAATATCTTCATATGTTATTACCATTGTTGTTTCAAAAAATACTACAAGAGTTTTTCAGAGACAAAATTTGAAGTAGACTGCAACAATTTTTGTAGTCAGAAACTAATAGAACCAAAGGGAAGGTACATTGGTGGATGGGTGCGTGGCTTAGAAACTATGGCACTGGAAACATGAAGTGGGTGAAGACTGTACTTTCTCACTGCTTCTGCTTCTTTATATCCATTATACTGGGTGCAACCCATTAACCAGGGTAGGTGTATTAGTCAGGATTCCTCAGAAAAGCAAAACAACTGGATGTGTGTGTGTATGTACATATGTGTGTGGAGGGAGAGAGTGAAAGATCAATTTTAAGGAATTAGCTCGTGTGATTTTTGGAGGCTTCACATGTCCAAAATATGCCAGCTGGGCCTGCAGCCTGGGTACCCAGGGAACAGCTGCAGTTCAAATCCAAAGGCAGTTTTCTAGCTGAATTCTCTTCCCTGGGATGTCAGTCTTTTTCTATGAAGGCCTTCAACTGATTGGATGAGGCCCACCTTCAGTTACGGAGGTCAATTTGCTTTACTCATAGTTTACTTATTTAAATGTTAATCTCATCTAAAAAATACCTTCCCCCAAAAACTCTAGAGCAATGTTTGGCTAAATAACTGAGGACCATGACTTAGCCAAGCTGACACATAAAATAACCATCATAGTAGAAAAAATGGGGAAGAAGGAGGGATGAACTATTCTTCTCAGTTCTTGTTTCAAAATTCTTGAGAAGGTACTCTGTGGTTTGTCCAGTTGAGTGGGATTCCCACTGCTGAACCAAACAAGTTTAATTGGGGGTTGGCATCTGGAGAAATGACTGTTACCAGCTGTCTCAGGTGACATGCCGATGAAAGACCATCCACTGTGGCTAAAGAAAGGGTGGCGGTAGGGTTACCTCATAGAAACTATTGTCAAGTACAAAACAAGGTGTCACATAAATAGAAATAATTGATCAATAGCTTCTAAATGTAATTTACAAATGTTAACATGTTTTTCCATTTAATGATGGAATATCTTCTAAGTTCTGTTTTACAAGACTTTTTGTATAATTTAATTATGGATAACTGATCTATCATGGTGCACATGTAAGTTTTTGTGGAGAAATAGTGGCTTGCATTCCATTTAAGTCCCTAAAATTGATTTCATTTCCTTTTCTCTAAATATTTTCTAGCTTTAATAAATAATTCACCTGTGGATGGAGAGCAGAGCAGTTTAGTGGCTCCTGCAGAAGGTAATATGCTTTTTTTTCTTTTTCTTAGAGTCAAGTACCTTAGAAGGGATGGAGTGTGGAAATTCTTCCCTAGAAACAAAGCTGATGGTCTGGTCTGAGGGCCAGCCTTCTGCCCGTTTGAAGAATACGGTGGTCTGAAGGCTGTGGTGTGAGGGACCCTGAATGACCCTGTCCCTCCTTCCCCAGCATAGTTCAATTCCATCTGGAGATCATGGAGCTTTCTCTATCAGGCCCTGAGCTTTGCTTTGAGGACAGAAAGATGAGCCAATGAGCTAGACCATCAGAGAGCCCCCAGGGAGCTAGGTGTTGAGGGAGCAGCCAGAATGAGCACAGCGCTCCAATCAAGCAGAGGAGATGAGCTCTTGCATCAGGTGGGTCAGGAGTGATGAGGAGGGAGCGGGTCGGCACCAAGGCTCGGAGGAGGCTTCACAGGGGATGTGGCCCGGGAACGGGGTCTTAGGGAAGAGAGTAGTAGTAGACACAAAGTGTTGTGTGGGAGCATCCCAGACCAGGGATCATTGTGAGGACTGACAGAAATGCAGTTGTGCTTGGCGTGTTCTTTCTGCAGGGTGGGCACAAGGTGGTAAGGGGGTAGTGAGATTGCAAGGTGAGCCAATTTGGAAAAGAGGGCCTTCAAAGCCAATACAAAGATGTTCATTGTTATCGATCATTTTATGAATTTTTCTGGCAATGAGAGATTTCTGGAGGTTGTCAGGTTTGAGGGACTCACATCTGTTATAGAATGATGCACTTAGCTGCAGTGTAAGGTATGAAGTGAAGAGGAGAGTTTTAAGGCGGAGACTGAAGTCAGAGGCTTTTGCAGTTATGGGGTTGCATGGTGGCGGGGACTCCACTAGGGTGCAAGGGTGAGAACAGGGAGGAAGCGCCCAAAGGCCAATGGGAATTTGTCTGTGTGCACAGGGATGGATGAGACTGGAACGTATTTACAGACAAAGGATGCAGAGCAGACGGGCTATGACTGCTTGGTGTGGAGCAATGTGAGAACTGCTCTGTCTTCTCAGTGACATAGGAGGTGGAGGCACCCTAGCTGTCACAGAAGGATATGGAGAATACATTTTCTAGACTGGTTCCAATCCCATGGAGGGACTGGCCATTGGTAAGGCATCACAATAGGTATGAGAAAGAGAAGATTAAGATAAGAGCAATCCCATAAGAACCATCACCCCAGGTGAAGGGTGGTTGACTGAAGGTCCCAGGATGAGGGAAGGTGAAGGAGGGTGGACTGCCCACAGTGTTTGGAATCCTCAACTTAAGAGTTACTTCTTCATCTACTCCACCCTTGTTAACCTGAATGTTCCTTTGATAAGCTAGTCCTTAAAAACAGTACAGTCAGATCTGGAGGATAAATATAGGCAAAAATACTAAAGCCTTACACTGATAACAAGCCAGTTCAAACTCTGGAGAACACAGAGCAGCTCAGCGACTTGCTCCGGCAGCAGTCTCTTCTCCTTCTGGTTTGATCTTCACTGTCCTTCCTTTGCACATGCATGCTTGCCCGCATGCACCTCAGCTGTTCTCTGACAAGCCGTGCTCCTGCTGCTGCTTGCCTCTAGACCTTTGCCAGTTTGAGGTTCCCCCTGCATGGGGATGCCACTTAATTTAATTCCTCTCCTAGATTTCCCAAAAACTCCACCTTTTTCCTTCATCTTGTTACATGGTCTGTACCTGGCTGGGCAGTACAAGGGCTTGGGCACATCACGGAATAGCAAGTGACACCCACAGGAGAGGAGAGATACCAAAGACAGAGGTTAGTGCCAACAAGCGTCATCCACATCAAAATTCTGTCCCACTGAAGCTGGTTCTACTTATGTTTACGTAATGAAATCACTTATCCTCACCTGTTAATGGTGAGTTGTAGCAGAAGCCCAGCAGTCCAGGACTCATTAGGTAGGTTTATGGGAAAGTGTGAGCTTCTATATCAGAAAATACCTGTAGGCTTCAGGGCACAATTTTCACTTTAAAAATGGCCAAAAGGTGTCCACTCCTTTTTTAATCCTTGTAATTAGGTTGCATGTGCAGAAACAAAATCTGTGATCAAAGTTCACAGTTGAACTTTCTGGGAGTATAGTTGTGACTGAAAAGGAAGGAAGGAAGGAAGGAGGGAGAGAGGGAGGGAGGATGAAGGGAAGATGTTGATTTTACTGACTTTGTGACTCGCCAAATAAAAATAGAAACATTAAACAATTTCTAGGTTGCTTAACCTGAGTGCCATCTTACGTTATTTTTAATGAAAGTACCACATACTTTCCAGATTTTTGTTTGTCGCAGAGCCTCCCGTAGGTACAGGCATTTAGCTCTCATGTGGCTGATTTATTCTCTATCATTTAAACTTAGGAGGAGACAATGTATCATGAATTATTCCATTTTCTACCCTGAGGAGTAGAGTTATAAGATTAATAGTCGCTATGATAAAGAGATTAGATTTATAACACTGTCTTTGTCTTTTAATTTAGGGTGGTGTTTTCTCATTTATTCATTTCATATATATCAAAACTCCCAAATCAATTAAAAAATTCTTAAAACATTTCTTCCTCATATAATACCTATTGTTTACCTAAAAGACATACTATTGGAGAAAATGGATTAATCATTGGATTAGGCTTAATATGTTATATACATTTTGTGAATGTTTAATTTTTATGTAGTTTTGGCATAAGATCATCAGCAAAGTATTCTTCTATACAACTTCATGTGATTATGCTGTGGAAAATTCAACACATGAAGTTATTTATCAAGCTTTTCCTTCCTCATTCTCCTTACATGTGTGTTTGTGTGGGTGCCTGTCCAGCTTACACTTCTCTGTCTGTACCTGTGGATACAAAGGCCGTGCTCTGCTGCCCTCCTATCCTGTTGACAGCGGTGGTGGTAGCAACGTGGGAAATCACCTTCAGAGACAACTCCTCCTGCACCAGAGCCTACAGGAGAGATAACAACGAGACCAAGGACAGTAACTGTACGGACATGAGAATAACCTGGGTCTCCAGACCTGACCAGAATCCTGCCCTTCAGATTGATCCAGTGGCCACCACGCATGACGGGAACTACACGTGTGAAATGGTCACACCCAATGGGAATTTCCGGCATGGATACTACCTCCAAGTGTTAGGTAAGCAGCCTCGTGTAATGTGGTCTGTCAGATAACCAGAACTGGGGTGGGAACTAATGTCCCTCTCTGTTCCCTGTCCCATGTGTTAGGATTGAAGCATTTTTCCTTACCTCTCTGCAGTGCCCCCTGAGGTGACCCTGTTTCAGAGTGGGAATGGAACCACAGTGTGCAAGGCGGCTGCAGGGAAGCCGGCTGCACAGATCTCCTGGACCCCAGAGGGGACTTGTGTCACTGAGCAGGAACACTGGGACGATGGCACAGTGACGGTCCAGAGCACCTGCTCCTGGGAGGGCCACCGTGTGCCTAATGTGTCCTGCTCCGTCTCTCATGTGACTGGAAACAAGAGTCTGTCCTTAGCACTGGGCCCAGGTAAGTAATTCAATTTTATTTCCTTAGTAAAATATGTATTTTGTATGAATTATGGTATCACTCAGTTCACTGACCAAATTAGAAAACCCCTCTTAATACTGTTTTCCATGGTCAGATTTATTAAATAATCCATGTTTTTCTTGAAGACATCCCTTCTTCATTTTTTACAAGCTCTTGCTCTGTTCTTTCCTGGTTGGTCACTAGATGCTACACATCTGTTGTCCTGAACATTCTCCTTTCCCCAATCATTTGCTCTATTTCATGTATGTTTATTATGCCTATTTTTACTTATTATCTATTTATTATTTATTTTTCCTATGTATTCTTGTGCCTTCTTTGCTAGGTGGAGTTGCTTCTCCTTTCCAGACATTTGCTGGTTTTAATCTCTTTCACATATGAGGCTTTCCTTATCTCTTTGGTAATCCTTAGCTATCCATTCATTTCAAACTGAATATTTAAAAATGAGCTGATTGGAAGCTATGCTATCTGCCATAGACTACCAATTAGTAGCTTCAATAGGTTGAAAGAGTGGTAAATGAACATTTTTTTAAAAAACTGGGGGTTCCTAAGTTATTTGAAGGTTTTTCTTGCTCTGAGTCTGTGCAGGTTCTGCAGTGTCTTGTCTTGGAGAGCTAAGCCTGCATATCAGTGTCTGGGAGCAGAGATGAGAGGGGAGTGTGTATGTCTGTGTGTGTCTGTTCAGAAATCAGACTTTTCTCTAATACCTCTCTTCAGTCTCCGTCCTCCATTACACCTGGATACTTGACTGTAGAGTCTTTACAACTCACATTTTCTGGGTTAAACTTCCTGTTATCTGCTGTTTGGGGAAGGTGTAGTGACCTGTCTGTACACTGTGGGAGGAGACGGGGCAGCTACCTATTCTCAACACAGACTTTCAGAGAAGCTCCCCAGCTTTAGCCCAACTTCACCCCCTGCAGACTCTTTTCTCTATATTTAGACCTTCCTACTCCAATCTTCTTGGAGTTGTGTTGGCACTAAGATTTTTACTTATTCCACTCCAATTTATTTGCCATCTTTCTGTTCATTTTCTACCTAAAAACAAGTTGAAATCTCTCATCTGTTCTTGCCTTCCTCCACAGTTTGTCTTTACAAGTCTATATGTAAAAAAATTTCTTTGCTGATATTTTAGTACATTTTAAGAAGTCAGAAGAGAAAAGTGCATGTGTTCTTAAAAATGACTGCTTTTTAAAAAGGTGTTAACAGTATTTACTGAGAAGAGTAATTGTGCCCTGGTTATGTTGGAAATCCAACAACCCGGTGTTACAATGGCACATATGTAGAATCTTAGAATAGAAGAAACCATCTAGTCCACTCCCACCCGTCAGGGACCTCCTGGTTTCTTCCTTGCTGGCAGGATGTTCAGCCCCTGCTGGTACACTTGCAGTGAAATAGACACAATCTTTGGAAAGAGAAGGCTGCAAAAAAAGGGTTGTTTTTAACTGCAAAGCAAAACTTTTCTTTTTCAAATAAAATACAGAGTAATCCAGTCTTTAAAAACAAACTGTTGAAGGAAGGTGAAGGGACTGGATGTCAGCCTGCTCAGCATCCACTCCCCTCCCTGCGCTGCCCCAGCCACACTCACAGAACACCGGGAGCTCGGTCTCGAAACTATTGCCTCTCAGAGCTGGCAGCTTCTTTGTTGACTTGTCCTCCTGTCAGATTGAGCTGTAGGTTGCTGCCAGTGTTTAATAAATAATTGAAAGTTGCTGCCATGCATTCATTTTGATTTCAGTGCCCTGGAAGAAAGGTGACTTCAGAATTAGTGCTATTTTTCCTACCTCCCTTATGACCTGTTTATTTCTGCATGTTAGAGAAGAGAAAACACTTTTCTATTACTGTAACAGAATTCTAAGCTTCACAGCTCTCTTATAGGAATTCACTATTCATGAATCCTTAAAGCAACAAAATCCTGACTTAAGATGATGGCTTGCCAGAAACCTTAAGATCTGAATTGATAAAGAAATTTTATTTTAACAATTATTTGAACTATTGATAGATCAGAAATGTTTAAGTGTAGTCACAGGAATTAATCTCATGCACTACAAGACATCCTTGAACCATATATATACATTTTTTGTTTTTTTTAAAAATAAACTTTATATTTTTTAGAGAAGTTTTAAGTTCACAGCAAAACTGAGTGGAAAGAACAGAGTTCCCATATACTTCTAGACCCAACACCCTGTCTATCTATGTCACCCACAGTGGTACATTTGTTCTAATCAGTGAACCTACATTTAAATGTTGTTATCACCCAAAGTGCAGTTTACATAGGGTTCACTCTTGGGGTCGTATATTCTATGAGTTTTAACAAATGTGTAATGATATCCACCATTATAGCATCATAGAGAGTAATTTCACTGTCCTAACACTGTCCCACCTATTCATCCCTCCTTCCACCCTAATCTTTAGTAATCCCTGATCTTTTTACTGTCATTATTTTATCTTTTCTAGAATGTTGTATAGTTGGAATCATATAGTATGTAGCCTTTTAGATTGACTTCTTTCACTTAGTAATATGCATTTAAGTTTCCTCCATGTCTTTTCATGGCTTGATAGCTCATGTCTTTTTAGCCTTGAATAGCATTTTATTGTCTGGATGTATCACAGTTAAACCATTTCTTTTTGTGACTATGTTTACAGGTACCCAAACACCAGACTTAAAAATTCTGTATATCATCCTTTCTATTTTTATTATCTCGGCCACTGTGGGATCCATTTGGCTTTTGAATATCGGTGGATGCAGGTATTGACTAGTGTTCTTTCTTCTTCAGCTCTACTGGACTAGAATGGGATCAGAAATATGGAATTGACTGACAGGGTAAAATTACAATGTTAACATCAATTTAGAAGCATGTCTGGAAGGTGTTAGACTTGGAGTACCCTGAATGAAAAGAGGGATTTTGCTAGGTTATTCAGGCATACATCATAGTGGCAGGATTTAGGGCAGTATCTTGGGAGAGACAATGCATGCTAATTTTCTATTTGGGAAAGCAATTATAATACTTCACTTTATGTACAAAGAGGAGGTGTCACATATACTCTGTTACATTCAGCTTCTGTTACATAATTTTACTTCCTCTTCCAAAATCCGTGAATTATCTTATTTGGGTGTGATAACTGTAAGCAACATTCTTCATTCATTTCTGGTAGTTTGTTTCTGATTTATTATGGCTTCTATCAAAATGAACCACAATTGTTAAAAGTATACTCTATTGTTCTCCCATTTTCAATCTAAATAATGATATTTTTTCCTGTACTCACTTGAGCTTATTTTTATTTTTGCAGAAAATGTAAATTGAAAAAAACAGAAGCTACTCCAGTTGTTGAGGAGGTAATAGAAGATTAAAAAGAATATTTGCAAAATTTCAAGACATGTAGTCTGAAAAGCTAGCCACATAATTCGTAATTTGAGTCAATATCAGTCTTTTAGTTGAAAAGTAAAATTTCTAACTTTATAATATTAAGTATAATAGTCAGGTGTACTTACTTTGTTAATTATCTACCAAGAACTACTTGGTAAACATTACAGGTTTGGGCATCTGTAAACATAGACACAAAAGGAAATGGTTTAACTGTAGTACATCCAGACAACTGTACTTTCACTTCAAGAACTGCATCCTACAAAACACACCGTGTTTGCCTCATTTGAACTTTAGTCTTTCGAGATCCTGAATTGGTATTTTCTTCCCTATGAAGCCAACTCTAATTCTTGACTTCCCTTTCTCAATTCCATCCTCATTTTCCTCTTACCTAAACTTAAAACCTACTGCTCCAAAATCTCTTACAACCAGTACCTGACTGAATCTTTGATCCTCTCTTTTGAAATACTTCTCAGGTCACTTCATTCTTCTCCATCCCTGCTTTCACACAATCTTTATCATCACATCAATACATTAAAAAAATACATTAGGAAAAAGTCTTTCTCTTATGTCCATGTAAGCCCAGAGACACAAATATAAGCACTGTTGGTAGATACTAAAGCTGTGGGCACATGTTAGAAAAACATAGGAGTTAATGATTTCTGGCTTTTTTGAATTGATTTTGACTTTATTTCCTTAGGATGAAATGCAGCCCTATGCCAGCTACACAGAGAAGAAAAATCCACTTTATGATACTGTGAACAAGGTGAAGACATCTCAGGTGTTACAAAGTGAAGTTGATGAGCTGGGTCTCAATATTTCATTTATTGGAATCTAGCACCAGGACAAATGAATCAAGATACAGTACAGTTACTGTTTTGATTTTCTCAGAGTTCTAGAATGGAAGAGCTATTCTGAAGTTAACTTTTCAAAGATTCTTATAAGACAGAGACACTGTAAAAGACTTGCATTCATATCCTTATACAATCGAAATTTTAGAATTTTAGCTGCTACTAGCTAGTTCTGTAAAGAACTTATGTTGTTACATAGAAAGCACATGCTCATGATAAAATATACAAATTGTTCAGTACAATAGATAATGAAAACTGAGTTTTTTCAAGAAATAACTGCAGAAGAAATAATTATCAACAGTCTATATATTTTTCTAGAAAATGTCTATGTGCATATGACATCTCTCACACTCATGATATATTGTACATTTATATGTCTAATTACATATACATCCACATATCCCTGTTAAGACACAAATGGGAGCATACCATAATGCTGTACTGTACTTACAGAAAGTTAATAATATAACAGGTCTTGGACATCTTTTATATCAATACAAGCAGAGCTACCTCAATTTTTATAGTGGTTACATAAAATTCCATTGTCTGGTTATGTCATAATTTAATTAGCCATAACCCTAGTGATAGACATTTGAATTGCTTTAAGTTTTGTTTGTTTGTTTTGCTGTTATAAACAATACTGCATAGCATGTTTCTTGTGGGTGTGTTTCTTTATATTTGTTTGAGTGTATTTGCAGGGTAGTTTCCTTGAGTGGAATTGCCAGGTCAAAAGGGTTTGTGCATTTTCATTATTCATTGATATGTCAAATTATATCAATTTATGTTCCCCCAACCATGTTAGAATATGTCTTTCTCTATACTGTTATTTTAATATTTGCAAGATTCCCACTTCCTGTTTTTAATCAACCAGTTAAGTAATGTAAGAGTATAATAAGAATTACACTATTTAATAAAACTGGATTTATGTTTTTCTGTCCTGTTTATGAGAAAAAAGGAAAATGAGAATGAGAGAGAGAAGTGGAGGTAGGATACATATGAGAACATTAGCTTTGGCTAAACTCATTACATCTCTATGCAGGTATTTATACTAAATGCCTAACAGTTTGACAGATGAAATAAATTGGATATGTATATTTTTGTGGTGTACATTTTACTGTGGTGTATTTATCAAATAACAAATGTTCATTGACTATGTAAGCAGCTATATGCATTATAAAGGACTTGAGAATCTATAAAATAAGGTCCTTGTGCTGAGAGGATGGCCATGTGATATCATGACCCTTCCTTCTGTTTTTCTGTGGAATAAAAACTGGGGATATGTATCTTGATCATTTTTTAATATTATGAAAAGAATGTCATTTATAAAAATTTATGAGAAAAATAAGCATGTTTCTCCATAGCAAGAAAAACATTAAAATTTTTCATCATGGTGGAAATTAAAACAAAATCCATTTTTCAGTTATTTTGTTTGAAATATTTGAGACAGCTGTGTCATCTTATTAATGTTTTCCTCCTGTCAGACATTTTGTTTACTCTTGGCTTTATTCTTTAAAAGGATTTTTAGTCTATTTTTGATGTAAAACTAATAGAATGAAATTTAGCACATGATATTTGGGCCAAACCATTTTGATACCATTTGGACTTGGCCCAAAGACAATCTATTAAGTTTCAGCATATAAATACTACCAAACAATAGATGTCATAACCCTACTGAAAAAATTCAACTTCCTTTCATGATAAAATGTCTCAATAATTTAGGTACAAAAGGAATGTACCTCAACATACTAAAGGCCATATATGACAAACCCACATCTAACATGTTCAACAGTGAAAAGCAGAAAGCTTTTCATATAAGATCAAGAACAAGACAGGATGTCAACTCTTGACTCTTCTCTTCAACACAGTGAAAGTCCTAGCCAGGGTAACTGTGGGAAAAAAGAAAGAAAGAAAGAAAGAAAAAGCATCCAGATCAGAAAGGAAGAAGTAAAATTGTCTCTATTTGTAGATGGCATGGTCTTATATATAGAAACCCTAAAAACTCCACTAAAATACTATTAGAAATAATAAATGAATTCAGCAAAGTTTTAGGATACAAAATCAATCAATATAAAAATTCAGTTATGTTTCTGTACACTGATAATGAACCATCTGAAACAGAAATTAAGAAAACAATCCCATTTACAATAACATCAAAATCAGTAAAATACATAGGAATAAATTTAACCAAGTTGGTAAAAGACCTGTACACTAAAAACTATAAAATACTGATGAAAGAAATTGAAAAAGACACAAATGGAAAAATTTCCTATGTTCATGGAGTGTAAGAATTAATATTGTTAAAATATCCATAGTACCCAGGTGAGTCACTGATTCAGAGCAACCCTTATAAAAAATCCAGTGGCATTTTTCACAGAAATAGGAAAAACAATCCTAATAGTCCTATGGAACCACAAATGAATAGCCAGAGCAATCTTGAGAAAGACAAAGCTGAATCTGTCACACTGTCTGATTCCAAAATATATTACAAAGTTATATGAATCAAAACAATATGCAGCTGTCTTAAAAGCAAGCACACAGACCAGTGTGGAACAGAATAGAGATCCACAGAGTAAACCCAAGCATATATGGTCAGCCAACCTTTGACAAGGGCACCAAAAATGAAATAGAGAAAGGACAGTCTCTTCAATAAATGATACTGGGGAAACTGGCTGTCCACATGCACATTAGTGAAACTGGACCCCTATCTTATATCAGCCACAGAAACTATTTTGTTCCACTGGTCTGTGTGTTTGCTGTTAAGACAACTGCATACCGTTTTGATTCATACAACTTTGTAATAGAGTTTGGAATCAGAAAGTGTGACAGATTCAGCTTTGTCTTTCTCAAGATTGCTTTGGTATTCATTTGTGGTTCCATAGGACTATTAGGATTGTTTTTCCTATTTCTGTGAAAAATGCCACTGGATTTTTGAAATGGATTAAAGACTTTAAGGTAAGACCTTCATCCATACAACTCTTAGAAGAAAACATAGGGGAAAAGTCCTAGACATTGATCTTGGCAATGATTTTTGGATATTACACCAAAACAATGGGCAGCAAAAGAAAAAATAAACAAGTGAGACTACATCTAACTAAACATCTTCTGCAAAACAAAAGAAAGAATCAACAAAATGAAAAGATAATTTATGGAATGGAAGAAAAATATTTGTGAATCATGTATCTGGTAAGAGGTTAATATCCAAAATATGCAAAAAAAAAAAAACCCTTTCAACTCAGTAGCAAAAACCAAACCAAACAAAACCCAAATACTCTGATTAAAAAATGGGCAAAGGACCTAAAAAGACATTTTTCCAAAAAAGACATACAGATACATGAAAACATGATAAACATTACTAATTAGGGAAATGAAAATCAGAACCACAATATCACCAAAAACTTGTTAAGATGCCTTTATCAACAAGATAAGAGATAAAAAGTGTTGGTGAGGATGTAGAGAAAAAGAAACCCTGGTGTACTGTAGGTGGGAATGTAAATTGGTACAGCCATTATGGAAAACAATGTGGAGGAGGTTTCCCCCAAATTAAAAATAGAATTACATATAACCCAGCAATCCCACTTCTGAAGGAAACTGATTCAATATCTGGAAAAGATATATGCATTCCCATCTTCACTGCAGCATTATCCACAAAATCTGGAAAGAACCTAAATGTCCACTGATGGATGAATGCATTAAGAAGAAATCATATATATGTAGTAGACTATTATTCAGACATGAAAAAGAAGGAAATTCTGCTATTTGTGACAACAGTGAACTGGGAGGATAGTATGCTAAGTGAAATAAGCCAGAGAGAGAAGGACAAGTATAGTATGCTCTCCCATGAATAGAATGGTGGGTACTAGGGGTTGAGGGGTTGGGGAAATGGGGAGATGCTGGTCAAAGGGTAGAAGCCTTCAGTTATAAGATGAATAAGTTCTGGCGATGTAATGTACAGCACGCTGACTATAGTAAATACTGCTATACTGTATACTTGAAATTTGCTAGGAGAGTAGATCTTAAACATTCGCACCATGTCTCTCACACAGACGTACAAGCACACACACACAAACAAAGGTAACTATATGAGGTGATAGATGTCTTAAAAAAATTTCAAGCGATTGATGTTAGAAATGATATCAATCAGTTTCCAAGTACTATATTAAATCTTTGTCAGAAACACCAAAGAACATTTGGAACACCAAAGAACATTTTCCTAGAGCTAAGGTGCAGTGATGAACCACAGAATATCTGGATTATCTAGATGAACAATAAAATACCACATTATTTTATTCCATCCATGTATTTCATCTTCTGAATGAAGACCAATAGGTCTATAAGTTTGCAACCAATTTCCTTTCTACTGTCTTAAGTTTATCAACTTCAAGCTTCAAGCCATAGAGCTCTCAATTTTTTAAATTGAAATTTTTATTGAGATAATGATAGATTCATGTGCAATTTTAGAACAAATATAGAGAACTTCCTTACACACTATTCCCACTTTAACTCTGATAACATTTTGCTTAATCATAGTATAATATGACAAAAGATATTGACATTAATAAAATCTACCAATTAAAAAAATCCCAACTCTCATTTTCAAATGTGTTGAGAAATTATTTTTCTGGTGACAGGAATCTGATCCTGGGGATAAGTATGTACTCTAGAAAGTCAACTATACAATCAATTCCTACCTTTTTCATAAGAAGTTGTCATTAACCATTTGGGTAACCAAACTGAAACCAGTGCTAACCATTTGTTAATAGGACAGATCCAAAAGGCAATATCACTGTCTGTTCAGGAAGATGTAAGGAGAATTTATAAGCAGAAATTTCTGCCTTCTAGTCAGCTTCCTCCATCTTCACCTCCACCCTCCACACTGAAAGCCATGTTACATTGTATTGAATCTGTAGGTTCCTTTTTCTTCCTTTACCCTCTGTTTTGTGGCAAAAGATGGTATATCCTCAAATGCTTTAGCCAGAAACAAACAGTAGGAAGAAGAAAAAAGAAAGTGAAGTCGAAGAGGTTAACATTGTCAGCAGGGAGTGGGAAAAGTGTGAGGGTGAGTGGGCAGGCAGGGAGGATGTGGCATGGACCACAAAGGTCTGAACTTGCAGACTGGGTAGTGGCATCTCAAAGTAGTTTCAGGCAGGGAAGACATTTCCTTAGGGCCAAGTTCAGAAAGATCAAGGCAGCTGCATGCATAGATGGGTGGAGCCAGGTCAGAGGTGCCTGAGAAACGCTAGGTAAAAAGATCAGGAACCGGCAGCAATACCCTGGTGCCCAGTCCTCTCTGCATCTGTGGGAAGACAGAAATCCAGGACTTCTGCATAGGATGTACTCAGTGGCTTCAAGTAAAATTTCATCAGTTCGGCTCTAATTCCTGGTTCCTGACTGACTCCTAGTCCCAGATCAAGCTTTCTATTTGGAAAGGGGTAGAAGAGTGGAGAATTATTTGTGTTATGATACTTTCTACCTTGGTGTTTTCTGTATTAAAGTGCATACTTCTAGAGGGAGAGATCTCATAAACCACAGAACAAATTATGAAACAAATGTACATGGACACACATAAAATATGATGCAAGGGAAGGAAAACCACCAATGAAAAGATATTGCTTTCTATTCTGGTTCTACAGCTCTATTATTAATTGACTTAGGCTATGTTACTAAACTTCTCTGCCTCTCTACTTCCTAATTTATAAAAATGAGTGTAATTATACATGCCTTATAAAATTCATTTTGACAGTATCTGGAGTATAACTCAATGGATTACAATTGGATCTGAATAGTGGGTCAAATATACATGCTTCTCTGGAGAGAATTGATTGCATAAAAACACACAGGAAGTTCAATCATGAGGACCTCACATCTCCAAACAGAAACTACTGCTTCTTAAATCGCTCATGAACCAGCAGTAAAATAGAGTAAGAGATTAGGGGATTTCTTATGAGTGCTAATGGGGCAGAGCAAGACAAGTGAAAAACCATAGCTAGGAATATGGTATGGTGGAAGGAAAACACAGCGGTAAGGACAGGAAAAAAAATAGAAGAGAACTCTGTTTAGAAGATGTCTTCAGCTTTTGGAGTGCTGTTTACAGTTTTTCTCCCTTTCGTAGCTGGTAAGTGTGTGGGGACAGGTTGGAAGAGTGAAAGGTGTTGGAATGAAATAGAAGAAACCATGATGGAAAAGATACTTCAGATTTGTTTTCCACCAGAAATTTTCCTCTTTTAAAATGCTCAGTTTTATTCTTCTCTTTTCAGCTTCCTTGACTAACAATTTTAGAACTGTCCTTGTAGGAAGACTTAATATTCTGCATTTCTAACAAGTTTCCAGGCAATGCTTAGGTTGCTGGTGTATAGATCACACTTTGAGAAACAAGGCTTTAGGAAGT